CTTCTGGCATCCATCATATTTGACTCCAGATTTTGTGTCTGTACCTTCAGTCACATCCTTCTGGTACTTGCTCCACTCACTCATCTCTCTTAGCCTACTTGGTTAAATTTGTCTTTCTTATAGTTGCCTGCATTCTCTCTCTCTCTCTCTCTCTCTCTCTCTCTCTCTCTCTCTCTCTCTCTCTCTCTCTCTCTCTCTCTCTCTTTCTCTCTCATTCTATGAAAGCCATGCAAATACTTCACACAGTCTCCCTATGCGCATTTGCAGGGCTCACCGTGTGCATGGGAACTCATATCCACTGTGATTTGGACATCTCTCTAACAAGTCTTGCCCCTGTACCAGGGGGGAGGGGGCGTATCCTCAGGCTTGAGACTATGTCTTATGACACTCCCTTCTATGTCTCCAACCCTATTACTTTTTATTCTCATGACTTTAATTCCTCATATCTTTATATGATACTGGAATCCTCCTTATGACACGCTTCTTACTTATGGTCCCTAATACTTGGACCTGGAAGGAAAAAGTCTTTCCTAAGTCTTTACTATCTCCTCTTTGCTTACTTCCAGAAATTACTTACTGACCCCCTTTCTTCAAGGCAGTCTTCTCTTCTCCTTCTAACTAACTGTTCTTTTCTAATTGAAAACTGGACTCTTCTTGTTGCCTTAAATCTTTTTCCTCTCTTGGGCCCAGAGCTATCATTAAACCTTGCTGTCATATTTTCTACTATAATAGACGTTGACATCAATACAAGCTTGATAATCAGTCTCAATTGCCTGAAAATGCACACTGGACAAGGCCTCTCTGCTGGATGCTAAGAAATCTCCCTTTTCAAACACCCACTGTGATTGCCAGATTAATGCTGGGAAGGGCAACTAGAGGCAAAATCATTACTTGTCTCAAGGTTGGGCTCCAAAAGAACTCCCATAAGATGGCAAATTTCAACAATCTTAAGGGTGGTCATCCAGAAGACAGATGGAAATTCTGCCGAGTGTTTCATATGACTCACATAGGCTCTCCTCCACTACACCAAGCCAGATACTCATACTCAAAGGGCATGGTTGTCCTCAGCTCTTACTTCCTTTCCCATTTTATATTTGTGTGTGTGTGTGTGTGTGTGTGTGTGTGTGTGTGTGTGTACGTGTACCTTAAGAGACTAGATGATGGCCCTCAATCCCTTTGGAGAGTTCTACTGAATATGGCATTTATGGTATTTACATTTTTTAATGGTTACATGGGCAGGATAAGTGGGAAAGTTAGGAAAGTGCTTCCTATGATAGACAGAAATGGAAACTTCTTGCAATTACCCTGAGGCCAACTCCAAAGAAAGGATACCAATGGTCTCCATAATTGCAGAGTGTGATAAAGAACTTCCCTTTATCTTATCCACCACCATATCTTCCCTGAACTGTGTATAGACAGGATCTTCAGGGCTGGGTGGCTGAAAACTGATGCTACTCTGAGAACTTGGCCCTGTGATGGCTTGTATAGGTATCACCCCTTAGACTTGTGTGTTTGAATGTTTGACCCATGAGTGTGACACTATTAGGAGATGTGGTCATGTTGTGGAAAGTGTTTAACTGTGGGGCGTGTACTTTGAGGTTTCATATGTTCAGACTGTTCCAATTGTGGCACAAAGTGTCCTGCTGTCTGCATATAAAGATGTGGAATTCTCAGTTCCTTCTCCAGCATCATGTGTGCCTGCATACCACCATGCGTCTCAATATGATGATAATGGACTAAACCCCTGAAACTTTAAGAAAACCCCAATCAAATGTTTTCCTATATAACAGTTTCTATGGCTATGGTGTCTATCCACAGCACCAGAAACCCTACCTAAGACAGCCTATGATGGCAGGCTGAACCAGCCCAAGGTCCTTTTCCCTATTCTCTCTAGGGTTTGGTGACCATGTAAACTTCCTCATCATGCCTAGTTGCCCAGCTCCATATTAGACAAGGTATAATAGCCAAATTACATTTTTCTTTTTCTTTTTATCCTTCTACCTCAGGATTTGTTCTTCTCCTTCTTGCCTCTATAGAGGCTTCTTGTCCACCAGCTAACACTAACACTTTACCTTACCCTCTACCGGACTACCTCATAGAATAAAATCTTTGGGATACCTCTTCTTCGGTGGCTTCCCATTACTCCCCCTACTGTAGGAGCCTATTTGCTATCCCATAGTTCTCAATACCGTATCTCCTTAAAACATAGACAAGGCCTAAAATCATACACAAGCATATTCTCAAGCCAACTCACTTGCCATATAACTCCCCTACCCTCCTTACTTTATTGTTCAAGCTTAATCTTTACCCACTCGGAGTACCAACGACAGGTCCTGCAAGCTATTAGACCCATTATGGGTCCTCAGTGCTAGCTTATTCTACAGGACAGCTATTGTCTGTCTGGTACTTAGGCGAAACCCTTCCTGCTGGCTACTTGTGAGTCCTTTCATATTGTGTCTCCTCCTCTCTAATGTTGCCTACAATCTCTTCTTCTGCCTCAGCTTTTTTGTCCTTCTTAAGGCTATCAACCAAGGATGTTCTATCCCTTCTTCCTCCAACCCACACTAATTCTGGGTAATCCTCCATCAAAAAAAAATGGCAGACATATTTCACAATGTGCCACCTAACAAAAAACAAATCTCTTCTTACTATGGGACACATTTTCTCAGGATGTGTAATTTTCCCTCCCATGACTGAGACTGCATAAGTGGTCTGTGTATACCTCATGAATAATGTTCTACTTAGATTTGAACTTCCTTGATCCATACAAGAAAATGGCCTAGCATTAATCTCTAATGTCACCCAACTTATTTAAAGGGCCTTAGCCATATAGTGGCCTCTCCACATTCCCTACTATCTGAGTCCTCAGAAAAGATAGAAAGGGCTAATAGATGCATCAAGACTCACTTATCAAAATTAGTTTCTGAACTTCACTTTCTTTGGAATGAACTCCTAACTCTATCCCCAATTCACGTTTGCTACGCCCTGAGTCCTTTCCTTCCACAACCCATTTGATTTAATGTACAACTATCATTTTGCTCTTCATCAATTTATCTATATGACTACTTACCTTCTTTCACTCTCTTCAGACACCTATTCTGGGAAAATGCTGAATATATCCTCCTTCAACCTTCCATAGATCTTATCACAAAAATCATTTTACCTTGTGACTGAGTTTTTCTAAAGGTTTCTCACCTTTTGCTTCTAAACCTACACTCAGTGCATCAGGGATTGATGACCAGGATCCATCTTCTATAGCTCACATAAGCTCTGGGCCCCTGGTGCTTGACAGGATAGCTAAATCATAAGGTCTCCTCCCATATAACACCTATCTTAGCATTTGGCCTTTTTCTTTCTAATGGTCTTAGGCTTTTTGCATACTACCAACCAACAGGGACTGCACAATATGCTTGGAAGTTTCAAATATATGCAAAATATCCCCCTAAACTCTTTTACTTTACGGTCTGTCCTTTCTTGGTATTTGCTTCTGACATTCACGTTTCTTTAGACCTCTATGCAGCTAGTTCAGTCAATGGTGGTTCTACTCCATCCTCTTCCCTCCATATTATCTCTAAATGTATTTACTTTTCTCAGGATTAAAGAAGAAAATGGTAAAGCTCAGGCCATATGGAAAAATTATTCATTCTAGAGCTGTAGATATCATTATTCCCCCACGAACTATAGGATATTAACTCCAAATAACTCCACCAAAAACTTAGACCTGAAAGGGGCACAGTAATCTTCACTATCCAAGACCCCTAGGATAATAAATGAGCCAAGGTGTTGAAAGGTTCACCTATATTTATTTTGATGGATTTGGGCCCTCCAATACAGGAAAAATTAAAAATTTTGTATCTCTTAAAAGTGCTGTGCCCACTCCTATTGTTGCCTTAGTGGAGGCCAATCAGCATTCAGCTTAAGCTCTCAACTCTACAAGATCAGTACCTTTCCTTTGATCTTATTTCATAAATGGCTATAGTAAAGGACTTCCTGAGACTATTTTGCATTTTCAGAAATACTGACAACTCCTCCAATGTGACCTCATACTTCCCTTTTGCTCCCTTGTAACAATATCCTGTGGTTTCCAGTCCCCTCACAACTTTAAACTTCACATTCTGCAACCTTGAGCTGGTACCTTCCTGTCCTCTAGAAATATCAGCCTATTATTGCCTTTTCAATAACCAGTATCTACCTTGTTCTCTTTCTACTCTTGTCAGTATGTAAATAACTTTCATTTAAAATCCTAACTAGCCCCAGAAGGAACCCTCTTTTGGTGCTGTTCCAATCTCAATGCACAGATACATTAATCCGTGGCCCATTCATGCCCACTTTATTACTTCATCAACTAACCATCTTCAGTAAGAGTAAAATTTTTACTCTTCATCACATCGTACACAGAAAATAGTAAGCAGTGGCCCTCCTAGTCATGACTGGAATAAGTTTGAAAGCATCCTTATTGGCTACAGAACTGTGTCCAGGGGCCTGGGCCATATTTTATATCAATCCTAACATATCTACTCCATCCAGGAGCCAACCTTAGCCACATAACAGCTCCAAAACCCAGATCACCTTCCTAGCCTCAGTGATTCTACAAAAGCAGAACACCCCCAACTTGCTGACCATTGAAAACAGAGACACATGTCTCTTCCTCAATGAACAATACTATCTTAAGATAGTCTGTCAAAGTTAAAAAGAAGATTTAAAATAAAAAAAAATTACATGAATCAACTTAAGAACTATTGCCTTCAGGGACTGACTCCAATGTGAGATTCTTGCTATGATCCTCTCTGACTCTCTTACCTGTCCTCTCTTATCCTTCCCAGGCTGACCATAACACCAACCCTAACCCTGTGTCATAACAATAACTGTCCCCTGTCCATTCAGAGAGATATTTCAAGAAGCAGTTATAGTGAAATGACCTAAGGTTCAGTGAACCAGGTGATTCTAAAAGAATTTCCTCAAATCTCCTACCATCTCCCCATGCCTGACTCTCCGCTCACCTTTGACTCATGTCCAAGATTTCCAAGTAGCACCCTGTGAACACTCATGTTCAGCTAAGAGTACCTAAGAATGACTGATCCTGGCCCCTCTCATCAATAGGCTGGAATGTTAGGTCACAAAGTAGGCCTGTAAGAATGTTGTATAGATTTAGCACTCTAGAATGGCTACCAAAGGTTAGCCTGAGGACATGTCCATGAGGAAGCAGAAACAACTCCCAGCATTCCTCAGAAACCCTGTGACACAGAAACTTTGCTTATCAGATAGCTGCAGTTTCTTTGTTCCTTCTGAAATGGCCATCTGTTGCAGGGAAAAATATTTTTTTTTCTAAACTGGCCTGATTACAACAGGTATAGACTCCCTCCCAGAGGACAAGGCCTAATGACCCCTTTTTAACCAAGACATGGAAAAATCTTCCAAGAAAAAGGAATCTGGCTTTAAGCCTTCAGGAACTCCATAAAGCCTGTTTGTTCTTGTAGTTGATCTACTGATCTCTAATTTCCAGAGACTGCCTAACAATTTGCCCTGCCCCAACAAAACAAAACTGTTTGTATATGCACAGTGTGGTCTAGTACAGTGTTTCAGTAGTTTTATGGTCCACACATATACAAACATGAACTTGATTCTGATTTTGAAGTACTAATTGATACTTTCACCCATTTCTTGGAAATTTAACATAAGTACTTATTTCCCAAATATAAGGTTTTGCCTTAAAAATAGAATAAAAAAGGCATCAAGACTCAAATATCATGTTCATATATATTGGAAAACTTTAGGAAAGATCAAAGATCCATATAGATGAATCAATACTACATTGAGTATAAGGAACTTTTACTACCTCATAAACCAGAGTTGAAAAGACCACAAATAATACAAACATATTTTGTCTAGTTCTTTTTATATTTATAAAAAGTTCTTTTCTATAGAATATTTTTTTTCATATTGCTTCACCCATAACTCTTCACAGAGACTCTACACCTCTCCAGTACCCAAATTTATGTGCTTCCTTTTTTGTTTTTCTATATGTATTATTATTTTTCTTATGTTACATATTGATCCCAGTTCCATTTCCCTCTCTTCCTCCCTCTCCACTTCCCTCTCCCTCCCTTCCTCACTCTCTTCCTCCCTCCCATGCCCACTGACCACACTCCCATCTGATTCCCTCCCCACTCCACAGGGAGGTTGGTGCCTTCCAGGAGGGGTAAACAAAATCTGTCAAGTGATTTGGAGAAGGAACTAGTCCCTCCCTCCTGTCTATAGCCTAAGGGAGTATCCCTCCATGAGGAATGTGCTCCCAAAGTCCTTTTTTGCACCAGGGATACATCCTGGTTCCACTGTCAGAGGTCCCTTAGACTGCCCAGGCCTTCTAACTGAGACTCATGTTCAGGGTATCTGAGTCAGTCTAATGCTGAATTACCAGCTATCATTCTGGGGGCTGATTAGCTCCTCCTTATTCAGAGCAGCTGTCTCTGTGGGTTTCTGTAGTCTTGTCTTGACCCTTTTTCTTATCACAGTCATCCTTCTCTGCATCTGGATTCCAGGAATTCAGCTCAGTGTTTAGCTGTGGGTGTCTGCTTCTGTTTGCATCAGGTACTAGATGAGGGCTCTATGATGGCATATAAGTTAGTTATCAGTCTCATTATCATGGTAGGGCATTTATGGTAGCCTTTCCACTGTTGCTCAGTTTGTTATTTGGGCTCATTCTTGTAATTGTCTGGATATTTCTCTAGAGTCAAGCTTTCTCTTCAAACCTAAAGTGGCTTCCTCTATTATGATATCTATTTTTATGGTAGCCTTTCCATGGTTGCTCCAATTGTTAGTTGCTGGCAGTCTTGTTGGTCTATAGACCTTTTAGGTTCAGTTTTCTCTTCAAACCAATAATGGCTCCCTCTTTTATGTTCTTTCTCTCTCTCTCTCTCTCTCTCTCTCTCTCTCTCTCTCTCTCTCTCTTCTGTCTTCTATTCCTACCCTGACCCAATCTTCCTAGTTGCATGTGCTTTCCTGTCCTCCCCCTCTCTTTCTCCTGCTTCTCTCTCCATTGACTGCCCTCCCCCCCCCACTTCCCCTGTGCTCTGGGGGACTTGTCCCTACACCCTCCTGTGAGGGACTTTATATGAATCTCTTAGAATACACCTGGTATCCTAGTACCTCTGGTGGTGTATAGGCTGGTGATCCTTTGCTCTAGGTCTAAAATCCATATATGAGTGAGTATGTACCCTTTTCCTCTTTTTGGGACTGGGTTAACTCATTCAGGATGGTTTTTCAAATGCCATCCACTTGCCTTCAAATTTCAAGATTCCATTATTTTTTTTCTGCAGAGTAGTATTCCGGATAGTGAGATCAACAACTAACTTATCCTTGGAGCCCTCATCTAATACCTGTTGGAAACAGAAGCAAACATTCATACCTAAACACTGAGTTGAACTAGAATCCAGATGCAGAGGGAGAGAACAAGACCAGGTTGCAGAAACTCATAGAGGCAGCTGACCTGAACAAGAAGGAGCTAATGGGCCTGAGACTGATAGCTGGGAAGCCAGCATGGGACTTGACTCAGCCCCCTCCCCCCGAATATGGGTCTCAGTCAGAAGGACTGTGCAGTGTGAGTGACCTCAGACTGTGGAATTAGGATGTATTCCTGGTGCACAAAAGGACCTTACAGACACATCCCCCATGGAGGGATATTGCCTTAACCTAGAGACAGGAGAGAAGTCCTAGTCCCTACTTCAAATAACTTGACAGATCTACATAACCCCACCTGGATGGCATTGCCCTACATGTGGAATTTGGTGGGGGGATGGGAGGGGAGGGTGGTCAGGGTTCATATGAGGTATCAGAGAAGGTAAGATGGAGGGAGAGAGGTAGGGAGGGAGGGAGAGGGAACTGGGATTGGCATGTAAAATAATAAATTAAATTAAAAAAAGGGAAAAAACCCAGCAACAATAACACAAAAAAAAAAAAGAAAGAAAAAAAAAAGAATAAGAAAAAGAAAAGGAAGAATAGAAAAGAAAAAAGAAATTTTGGTAGGTAGTTCCATTTGATACTAAGATTTTCAGAGAAATGGAAAATGTTCTTCACACTTTAATGTACTTTTATGCAATAAACCAAATGCTATGTTATGTAAATAGAACAGTTATGAATAGCTTGAGCATGGCCTTTGCATTCATGAAAATACTTTTATGCTTTCAGTCTCTTTAAATCTATTCTAGAACCAGAAACAAGGGAAATGCCTGTAATCCCTGCTACTCAGTGTTGAGGAAGTGAAGGCCTAGGAACACAGGCAACCACAGACAATATAGTGAGTCCCATCCACAAAGTTAAATACATTATAGAATTTGAGCATCATTATTTGAGCTGGTAGTGGTGCAGGCTTTTAATCCTAGAAATTGGGAGGGAGAGGAAGACAGATTTTGGTTAGTTTGCAGCTAGCTCGTACTACTGAGCAAGTTCCAGAACCACCAGGGTACACAGAGAAACTCTGTTTTGAAAGAAAAAAAAAAGAAATCACTTTTTCCAATTGAGAATAGTTGTATAATGAATATTCATAGACTTAGTTAAAGGATATGTACATTTCTTCGACAAAGGCAGTCTTTCACAATAGTCATTTTGCCATATATTTTGAATAAATACTATAATTATCATTGTATTAAAATAAAACAGAAATTATCTCTTGTCAAACCGTAACACGGGGAGGTGCTTAGGCTTACTGCAACTTAATATGCTGTGTTTTGTTAATATTCATGAGATACTTTCCCTTTACTAAACAGAAACAGAGGAAGTGTAGATTGGTGGACTGGGAACATGGGGGAATGCAAGAGGGTCTGGGAAGAGAAGATGGAGGGGAAACTTCAGCCAGAATGTAAAATAAATAAATAAATTTATTTAAAAATAAAAAAAAATCTGTTTTTCCCTCTCATCTACTCCATGTTCTTTCAATAGAAAAAACAAGAACAAAAATAAAAACAGACAAACCAAAAATTAAAATTAAAAAAATGATAAATAATGCCCCCCAAAATAAAAGGCACATTCAAAAAAATTTTGTTTCAACTTAGCCAGCTACTCCTAGTTGTGAGGAGTATGGTGAATATAACCAGTGAACCTTCACTGAAATAAATTGACTTTTTTTTTTTGTCTAGGGGCATGAATTTGTGTCTATGTATTCTCAATATTTAGCCTCATTCTAAAAGATATTAGGGGCTAATCTACATAAACTAAGCAAACTAAATAAATAAGTAAAAGTAAGTCATGATAGATGCTATAATAAAAAGTAATAAAATGACTTGTGTATGCTGAGGTGAAGAGGAATAGGCTCAAACTTACAATTTATATAGAGCTTGTGGTTTTGTCTGAAGAAAGGAAAGCAGGGTGCAAAAAGAAATTGAGTATTTCAGTGGAGGTGGTATTGTTCATTCCTCTTAAACTTTAACATATCTTAAATGTAGCTATGATCCCACAGGCATTTACAATTTTCTCTCTCTACTCTGTATGATTGAATAATCTGGCTCACAAAAGCCATAGTCAGTTTCATACACACCAACAGATTGGTTGTGTGACTGCTGCTCCTCACAAACAATGATGCAGAATTTGCCTTAGTTTATTCTTTGTGGGTTTTCCAGTTTTCAGTTATGGAAAAATAATGAGCTTTGCATTAAGGATACTAATATGGATTTTATATGCAAAAAGTTTTATGTGATTTTTCTTGACATTGCTTGAGAGATTTTGATAGGCGATTGAAATTCAGTTCTTAAAAACGTGGAGTCATTTGTTGAATATATGGATGACATGCAAAATAATTAGAGTTTATGGCAATGTATAAATAGAAATCAAGCTTCATTCTACACCCTTAAAAGTGATAGCTATAAAATTGTCTAGGTATATAAGTTGGCAAAGAGTTGTAATACAAACTTGAAAATGCAAGAAGAGCTTTAATGAGTTAACAAATCAGCTGTGGAGGTCTTTATTTTAACTGAGTTTGTTTAGAGTTTAAGTTATAGGAATAATCCTGTTGATTTGCATTCCAATCATATTTTAGATTTATGGCATAAAGCCATTA